GGTAGGGTGAGGACCTCCATGGCGGATTTACAAGGTCTATCATATCATCTGAGGCAGGCCCTCCCCCATGTGTCCAGGATGAGAGAACATCCCTCATTGTGAAATGGGCTCCCTGTGTCCATTCATATGCCAGGAATAAATACTGAACTCTTTTTATATTGTGAATATTGTCCCTCTACTTAATGTGTAGTTAGTGAAAATATTGTCCCATCTGCAGTCTTCCACTTTGTCTGATGGAAGTGTCCTTTGAAGTGCAGAAGCTTCTCAGTTTCATGAGGTCCAATTTATTAATTATTGATCTAGGAGTGTGTGCTATCGGGGTTGTGTTCAGAAAGTTTTCCTGTGCCAATAAGTTTTAGGCTACCAGGAACTGGAACAGTGTTGTGAGAGATCAGACCATGGTTTTTTTCTGAAGGAATATGGACCTTGGAACTACAGATAAGGATAGCAGACATAAATTTTAAGGAATGATTAATGGGCCATACTAGTAAAAGCAAGGAAAACAGGTGTGCTGAGTTTGATTTGAACTCTGTGGGTGACTGGATCAAGATATTTCAAAGGAGAATAATATTTATGGGATAATTGTGGTGATGTTTTGGTGAAGAACATGGCTACTGCTTGCCCTTGTTTGAAGAATCTGCCTGAGGGTAAACTGAGGAGATTTATATGAATCTCTTTGGCAGAAGAAATCCCAAAAAAGCCTAGCATAAACTGTATTGTTCCAATATTAGTAACCCCAATGAGGATTTATGATGACAAGTAGCAAACTGAGCAAGGAAAATACACACTGCAGAAGAAGTTGAGTAGAACAGGAGCATCAGTAAGTGGACTGCAGTTACATCCTGTGGTTGTTGAAGGAGACACACAGATTAAGACTTGGATAAAGGGAGTGGGGGCCTCAGGGCAGGATTCCACCCAGTTAAGTTTCCCTTGGGTAAAAAGGAATTAAACAATAGTTTAGAGCTGGGTGTAATTGTGCATAACTTTAATCTCAACTCTAGCAAGGCAGAAGCTGTTATATTTCTGAGATTTATGCAAGCCCGGTCTACAGAGAAAAATCCAGAACAGTCAAGTACAGGCAGTGAAGGAAACCACTGAAAACCAAAGCTGGTTAAGGAAACAGCTGAAATTATTTGGATATCTGGAGCATTTTGACATCAGACAAGAAGATGCAGAGTTTGTAGTTTGCACAGCTGTTTTTCAGTCTTGCTTTGGTCTAGTATTTCTCCACTATGTTTTGGACAGTAATGTGTTTCCTATGCATTATATGTTGGAAGTATGATATTTGGCTTTTGATTTTGAGTTGATAGGGAATACAGTTGAGAGGTTGAGTGAATCTCAGAAGACACTTTGATCTTTGGAATTTCAAACATCCTGAGAATGTGATTGAATATGGGGACTTAGAGGTTGGACTAAAATTATATTGCAATATATTACTTCAAGTTTCTGGGAACCTCTCACACCACTTCCAGTTGACTGCAGGATCCATTTGATATTATATTATGATATATGATATGATTAAGTAATATGATATTACTTCAAGTTTCTGGGAACCTCTCAGACCAATTCCATTTGTCTGCAAGATCCATTTGTAGCTCCTTAAGCACCCTCAGCTGATTCAGCCCAATGTCTGTCTGCATGTCACCCAGTCTTGGCATGATAACACTATGTTAAACCTCTGAAGCAGTAAGCCACCCAATTAAATGTTTTACTTCATAAGACATTATGGTGTCTCTTCAAAGAATAGAAATCCTAAATTTGATAGCATGCTCTATCTTAATTAGCATCTGTGTATGTGTGCTTCTGTTATAGGAGAGCTTTTACCTCTCAGGATCAGATGCATATCTCTGTGTGAAGGCTGTGACTCCTGGGGAATGAATACCCAGTAGGATCTAATACTTACCTATTATGGATAGTAGTTTTTTGGATATATGACGGGGACTACACTGTGCAGTACCTACAGCCTAGCCAGCCATGTGTATGTGGAAGATAATGGGAGAGAAAATATATCAGAACATGACACTTACCTTGCATGAATATTGGGACTATGATGGTTAGGCAGTTGTTATATGTAGTAGGCTATAATAACTAATTGGATACATGTAAATAGGTGTTAGGTGGTGTGTGTGTGTTGTGTGTGTCCAGATAAATTGAGATAAAGAGGGGAGAGATTGAAAGTGAGTATTGATTTAAAAAATGCCTACCCATGAATCCAGTCGTAATGAAAGTACTTGAATGAAAAATCCAACCCAAGGAATTTAGCTACACCTACAAAAACATAGGCAACTGATATCCTGAAACCAACAAGCACCAAAGATACAAAACACACAAACACTACCAATGAAAATAACAGTAATTTGCAATCACTGGTCATTATATCTCTCAAGAGAAAGGAATTCAATACACCTATAATAAGGTTGCAAGCTAACAGTCGATAAAGAATGGGATCCATACTTTTGCTGCCTACAAGAAACACACCTCAAACACAAAGACAGACAGTACCTCAGAGTAAATGGTTGCAAAAGTATTTTGCATTCAAATAAATGTAAGAAATATCTAACAAGACAGACTTCAAAATAAATAATTCAAACAAATGGAGAAGGTAAATTCATACTAATCACAGAAAAAAATCCATCAGGATAAAGTCTCAATTTGGAACATGTATGCATATGCTCCAAAAAGAAGAACAAAAACATATGTAAAGGCAACATGACTAAAGTTTAGATTGCACATCAAACACTACAAACGAATAGTAGGAGACTTTGACACTCCACTTTTACCATTGAACTAGTGGAACAGGCAGAATCTTAAAACAGAAATGAGGACTCACAGATTTCATGACTCAAATGGAATTCACAGACATCTATGGAACATTTCATCCAGAAACAAAAGAATACACCTTCTCAGCACATCAAGGAAACTTCTCTATAATTGACCACATAATCAGTAACAAAGCAAACTTCGACAGATAGAAGATAATTGTAATAACCCCTGTATATTATTGGACCACTCTGGTTTAAGTTTAGAATTTAACAATACTAATTACAAAAGCCTACAAAATCATGGAAATTGAACAATGCTCAATTGAGTCATCCCTGGGTCAAAGAAGAAATAAAGAAAGAAATTAAAGACTGTCTAGAATTCAACAAAAATGTAAGCACAAATAACCAAACCTATAGAACAATATGAAAGCAATTCAAAGAGGAAAGTTCATAGCATTAAGTGCCTATGTATAAAAGTGGAGAAATCTCACTGTAGTGTCTGAACAGCACACCTGAAATCTCTAGAACAAAAAGAATCTAATTCACCCAGTAGGAGTACTCATCAGGAAATAATCAAATTGAGGGCTGAAATCAATGAAATAAAAACAAAGTAAACAATACAAAGAATCAATGAAACAAACAGCTGGTTCTTTGAGAAAAGTCAAGAAGATAGTTAAAGATTTATCCAAACTAACCAAAAGGCACAGAGAGATTATCCAAAATTACAAAATCAGAAATGGTAATGGGGACATAACTACAGACACTGAGGAAAATTTGATAATCATCAGGACATAATTTGAAAAACATGTACTTCACAAAATCTGAAAATCTAAAACAAATGTACAATTTTGTGGGTAGGTACCACATACCTAAAATTTAAAAACGAGCAGATAAACAAATTTAATAGACCTAAAACCCCTGAGGAAATAGAAGCCATCATCAAAAGTCTCCCCTCACACCCACACAGATGAGGCCAGGGCTAGATGGTTTCAGTACAGAATTTTACCAGAATTTCAAGGAAGAGCTAATATTGATACTCCTCAGACTTCTCCATGTGATAGAAACTGAAGGAACATTGCATTTTTACTAGGATACAGTTACCCCGACACTCAAACCATACAAAGACTCTACTAAGAAAGAGAGTCTACACACATAGAGGATCACAACTGTCTATAACTTTAGTCAGGGAAACTTCCATGCTCTACTATCCTATAGGGACAGTGCACATTTGAGATGCATACTCCTATAAGCAGTCTGTAACTACTCATAGTCAAAATAACATTACACAAATAAGTCAATTAATACGATAATTTTAAATGTGTTCTTTATCGCTGGGGATGCATGCACCTCAGTGACACACAAAAACTAACACCTGAAAAGGCATGTTATACTAGAATTGAACCCTTGTGTTCCATGCTAAAATAACAGCTCAGATATTGTATATCTTCAACACAACTAAATACATATTAATACATTTCCCTAGGTACTGCAATTGGTACTTTCCCATATTCCAATCAAGTGAACATGTCTAGGAAGTTTATGTATCAAAATATTCCTAAATATTTTGGAACAAATAGTACAAGTCTTTTAATGAAGGGAAAGAAATCTCCCTGAGGCATCATGAAGTCTTTAGTATTGCTTGTATTTCTGATATTGTTGTTTTGATACAGGGTTTCTCTATAGTTCATGAGGCTCTCCTGGGACTCAATCTGCAGACCATGGTGGCCTCAAATTCCTAGAGACCCACTTACACTTGCCTCCAGGATGCTGGTATCAAGGCTGAACTTGCATTGCACTGTTGTCTTCATGAGTTTATCATGATATTTGGAGTTATCTAGACATTTTTATAATCATCCCTTCATATACTTTGTCTCAAGTTTTGTTTCAGTGGCTCTTATATTGGCCAGTATTATGGGATTGGTCATTTGGGGAGACCCCAAGTTGACTTGGATTTTTCATTATTTCTTCAGTGTTGTAATTGGTTGGATTTAGTACACTTGTTAATTCTTTCCAACACACTTGTATTGGCTTGATTGGACTTGGGTTCATGGCTTGGCTATTCTTGGCTTAGGTGTGTGCTTCATGAAACTCAGCTGTGGAGACACACAGTGCTAGTCTGTCAGTGGGACAGCAGAGATAATGAAAGTTGAGAAGTGGTGGTAGCATCCTATGTTTGAGACCTGTATAAAGACATTGTCTTAGAATACTTTCCATTTTGTATAATTTGTTTATTGTTTTAGTATTCATTTTACATTCCAAATTCAATTGTCCCTTCAGCCCCCCCATACCTCACACCCTTGACTCCCTCAGTGCAAAGACTCCCAGGAGGAGTCAACATAGTGTGTTACATAAAGGTGGGCATTGCCAAGCCCCTCTCCCATGCATTAAGCCTGAGCATGGCATCCCACCAAAGGTTATGGGAAAATTTAGCTTATGTACTGGATTTTAGATCCTTGTCCTGCTGCCAGGGATCCTCAGATAGTCCACGTTTCACAACTGTTTCTTACATACAGCGGGCCTAGTCCAAACCCCTGGAGTGTCCATAGCTGTTTGTCAAGAGTACGTGAGTTTCCACTATATTGGTTCAGCTATTCCTGTAGAGTTATCTGTAGATTATATTGAACTCCCTTGCTCATATATTCCCTCCTCCCTCTCTTTGACTGAATTCCTGGAGCTTGAACTGGTGCTTGGTTGTAGATCTCTGCCTCTATTTCCTTCAAATACTGGAAGAAGGCTCTACGATGATAGTTTGCATATTCTCCAATTTGATTTCAGGGGAAGACCAGTCTGGGCATTCTCTCCATTATTGCTAGGAGTCTTAGCTGGTGTCCTTCTTGTCTATATTTGTCATTCACAAAAGGTTATTTATTAAAACAAATAGTCAAAATTCAATGGAGGAGAACATCTTTGTGGCCAAAGCAAATGGGACTCTTATGGACTATATGGACATGTCTTCACTTTATAGCTTACATGACAGTCAAGGACTCACCATGGAATGGTTCAGGAACACAGCACAGTATTCTGAGTGCATTGGTTATTCGCTTCCTTATCAGCTGCCAGGCCTCCAATGATCTGGATCCAGAGGTTTTGGGTCCAACTTGGGACTGTTCTTTGGGAATGATGGGCCCAACGGATAGTTGCTCTACCGGGAATTCCTTATTCAGAATCCTTATAGGTGTTCCATTCAAGACTGACTCACATAAGGAAATATCATCACACAGGCCATCCACAGAATTCATGTTCATTGCAATGTCCCCAGTAGCATTGTGGATGAAATTAGCCATCAGGACACTTCTTGCAGAAAATATTTCATCTGAACAGGGCATAATCTCCAAGCAGGCGTATTTGTTGGGCATCTTATAACTTTGGCATCTCTTTTCTCTTCTTTCCACACCATTCTCCTGAAAGTCACCCTTTCCAACTTCAATAATTTTTGCCAAGGTTGATTCACTCTCTGCCCTTTTGAAGGGGAGAAGGGGGTGAATAGTACCTATAGGGCTGATGTTTAACCAGGGCTTCCCATTTTGGTGATGACAGTCCCTAATACTCAATTTGTGTTTCAGAATATTGAAAGTTGCTGTTACATTATTATTTGCTTGCCATTTTCTTATGCATGATACAATCTCTTCACAGGTATAGCCTATGTTGCACATAGTCTCTACGACACTGGGAAGGATTTCTTTACTTGCAGGTTCTACATGCTCTTCAATTTGGCCCAGCCATCTTCTTTCCAGGAGCTGAAATATTGTTATCCTTTGCCGGGTAGGGACTGTGAGTAATTGTGCAATGATTTTGCAACAGGGCTTTGAGAGGTGATAGGGAATAGGGTACTCTGTACTGTTGATGAGCCTGTGCATACCATGCATTGTGGTTGCTGCATATGGAAATTTTCCTGTGACCAGTACATATAGGACTACTCCCAAGCTCCACATGTCAACTGCCAGCCCATCATAGGGTTTCCTTGCCAAAATCTCTGGAGCCATGTAGAACAAAGAGCCACAGACATTCTTCAGCTTCTGCCCCTCTTCGAGCTGAATAGCCATCCCAAAGTCACAAAGCTTCACGTTTCCAGCTCTGTCAATCAGGATATTTTCCAATTTAATATCACGATGTGCAACAAGTCTTTGGTGGAGAAAGTGCACTGCTGACACGACCTGTTGGAATATTGGTCTAGCTTCTTCCTCCTTTAGATAGGTTTTGTCCCTGAGGAATATCTCCAAGTCATCTCCTGCAACATACTCCATGACTAAATAAGTCTTTGTCATTGTGTTGATGACATGATAGTATCTGACTATGTTTCTGTGTTCCAAAAACTGGAGGATCTGTACTTCAGAGTTGATGTCATTCATACCATTGTGATTCTTCTTGAGCACCTTGACCGCAACCTGTGTGCTTGTAGGGAGGTGGCACGCAAGCTTCACCTCCGCAAATCCTCCACAGCCTAGAGATGTTAAAAACTTGAAATCATTGCAGCTATCCATGATGTTAACCTCAATTTCAAGCACTTTATCTCGTCGGAAATTCCTCAGGAAAGCAATGCTAGAAACAAAAATTAAAACAGATAAGATAAATGGCCAGAAAAACATAAAGATTTATAGTAAAGTCAGACTTGGATGAAGTAAAACCTCTAAAGGTTTACAGTGAGTTCAAAAAATATATGTAAGATTGAGAGAGAAAAATAAATGGCATAGTGGTAAATAAATAGAGAAGCCCACTGTGGTTGTACATGCTGATAGGATTTGCTGCAGAGGCAGAGGCAGGTGGATTTCTAAAGAGAAACTCTGTATCAGAGAAAAATAAATAAAAGAAAGAAAAAGAAATAGAATAATAGTAATAGATAAATAAATAAGACACGTAAAGTTGGAAAATACACAGAGAGTCTGGATACTATATGCTATTGTGTTTTTCAGTTTTTTGATTCGTTAGTAAAGAAAAACTGCTAAAGTACACTAGATTATAAATGCTGCTGCATTAATTCAACTTATATCTTTTGAAAATGCCTTGACTTCAAAATTTACATATAAGGATATGTTACTTTGGAAAGGAGTTATTGTTTATGTTTCTACAGAAAATGAAAAGCTGAGGATTCCTTCCAGGCTTCTGTGGTTTGATGAACCAAGACCCCTGGAAGCAGTGGGCCAGGTGTTCCAACAATTGAGACAGCTAGTATGATACATCCGTACAGACCCAAAAAATAAGGACTTATACAGGTTTCTGAGTTTTGTAATGATCCCCGTGATATGAAGTGCACCCCCCTACAGCATGAAGCAGTTTGGAATGAGCGACGTCCAAATCCCCATACTGTTTATAAATCTTTGCTTTCATTTAAATGGGGTTGTTTATAATTGGTTAATTATCACAACCAATCTCTTTTTAAAGGAGAAAGGGGATTATGGTATGGAAATAAATACTTGGTGTGGGTATGGTTTTTCATTTATTGATACAAATTCAAGGTCAATTTTGTGATATGTATATTTCTCCTCTTGATTAAGTATTGTGCTTATACTGATCTTTAAAATTGTAATGCATAATTAAATACAGGCTATAGATAGTTATAATTTTCAGAACTTATAGTTAGGTAAGTTAGGTTTTCTAGATAAACAGAAATATATGTGAGATAGATACGTAGTCTTCAAACCTTTCAAAGACCTTCAGAAAATGGCATTTAAAACGGTTTAGGGGTTTTCTTGACAATGAGAAATGTCTGTTCCTTGCAGCAACTATTACATCTGAGAGGAAGTTGGGCCTCAAAGAAACTAGTTATGGAGTTTGCTTTCAACATGGCAACATTATCCATTTGGGCAAGAAACTGCTCTTGCCTAGACTGTTTGACTGTTGCTGTATAAACTGGATATGCAGGACCCACAGGAAAGTGACTGCTGAACTCAAATAGTCCTTCAGGTTTCCTGCTTCATGGAAGAGTCTGTGAAACTTTCTGCAGAAAACAATGACTGACAGACTGCTGATGCAGATGGACAGTTTGAAATTTCCTGCTTTGCTTTGAAGACTTCTGGACACATTGTGGCCTATGGGCTGAAGATGGATGCCCCAACATTACAGAGGAACTTTCGATGACTGCCCAGGTAGCAAGATGTCTCTGTCAATTCTAATGTTTGTATATTATCCTTCTATGGTCTTTGATGGAGTTGAAGACAGATAGGTATAGTTTTCCTTAGTTATGATAAAAGATAAGCTACATATAAAACTTTGGACTCACAAGGATGGGATAGATGAAATTTTCTTTAAATCTTGCTAAATGTTGATTGACAAAATAGTGTAATTGTGTTCTTACTTGATAACTGTTCTGTTATATATAATTTGACTATGCTAATGTTAAGACCTTTCTTTTTATTTAGACAGAAAAGAGGAGATGATGGGGGAAGTCCTGTGTATATGTCAATAAAACACTGTTGGCTAATAGGGAAGCAAGATCGGTGGTACTAGTTCTTCAGGGAGGACTCCCAGTAGGAGAAACTCAGAGAGTCAAGATGTAACCGCCATAGGGATAAGAAGCCTGGAAATTCCTCTGGTAAGAGAAATACTTAGATTAACAATTATGAGATAAATACTTAAGTCAGAGCTAGCCAGTAAGCAAGGCCAACAGCTTCATAATCAATACCGTGTCTTGTGTGTTATTTGGGGACTACAACACGGCAGAGCCCAGGTGAGTGGCAGGGGGAAAAACCAAGCCGCTGGCAAGAAAAACGCATCCCTTTACAGATGTGTACTCATAAAAGAAATTGCTAGGGTCAAAGAAACAGTGATCTGTGCACAGTCAAGAATGCATCAAAATGAAAACCTCTGGCAGAAGATACAAATTAAAATATAGGAAAAAGGTTATATTCTAATCGACTTACAATGTAGAGGTTCTGCTGGGGATGTTTCAACTATTAAACCATAGGAAAAATTTAAAGTGTGAAAGGAATTAGCAGGTGTATGTGAATATTGAAATTAGATGAAAGAAAAGCACTTAAACACATGAGTCTTGAGCAAAAAGTGCTGCTGCTATCAAAATAGATCCAAACCAGGTAGAACCCTGGCATATTGGATCCCGTGAATCTATCCAAACTTTGGGGAAGAATTAAAACTGTACTGGAGGGATTTGTGTGACAACTTGAAAGAAACTATAATTCTCAGAGAGGAAAGGACCTCAGTTGAGACAATGCCATCATGAGATACAGCTGTTCGGCATTTTCTCAATAATTGATAAATGGAGCAGGAACCAGATCATTGTGAGTGGAGCTCGATCTACTTGGACATGTGATCCTGGGTTTAAACTAAACCAGGCTGATCAAGTCAGCAATCAGTGCCCTTCCATTGTCTCTGCATCTGTTCCTGTCTCAACGAAACTGCTCAGTTTACATTCCTGTACTGACTTTCTTTAGAGACAATGGTCCTGAAAGTGTAAGCTCATTAAACCTTTTCCTTCTAAGTTTTCTCATTGGACATGGTGTTTTGTTGCAACAATAGAAACCCTAAGACAAATACCAAGATTACAGAAAATACTTCTTAAAAGGAAAAGTAATGGAACATACCCAAAGAATCTATATACCTTTATTACCCTGAGCCCCCAAGCAAAGAAAAACAAAAATAACATATTAACTCCTTTCATCAATAAACACATGTGAGAAATTCCTTAATGGGAATCCATGAGAATTCACATCTGTCTCAACAACACAGTAAATATTCCTTCATTCACAATTCCCTCAGGAACAGGAGAGGATATTTCAAAGAAAACAAATTGATTCTTAGCATAGTATAAAAAGAGACTAGGGGGAAGAGACAAAACAAGCACAGTGAGTAGTTAACTCTAGTGTTATAACAAAATTATCTAGAACTTGATATAGTTTCGAATGACACAAAGCAGGTCCACAACCACAAATCAGACATGTCTTGTGTTTTCTGAGTCATGAGGAGGCATGGGACTGAGCTTTTGTCAGTCATAGTATCAGTCACAAAGTTATGCTGGAAGGAGTGAGATAGTGCAGTAGAATATGATCAAAGTACAATAAGGCATGCATGGAAATGGTATAATCAAATTGGCAATGTGTGATCTTTATTTAAATAGAGGAAAAGAAGAATCCAAAGAGAAAAAAAAGATTTAATTTTTAAAACTGATTATTAGGTAATTGATGAGTTAATGGAATATACAGTTATAAATTATCTCTACAGCAAACCTAACATTGGAAATATGAATAGGACACCCGAGACACAAAACCTCTGAAGGAGAAACCTACAAACTGGGAAACAACCTCACTTTGTTGAGGTCCATTTGATTAGAGAACTCCAACTATGTGAGGTTCATTGTAACCTCATTACTGCTGTCTGGGAATCGGACAGTGACTCCAATGGTTAAGGAAAAAGCTCAGCTGTTGGGTATGTACAAATGGACTAATATGTATCATTATTCTCAATGTCTCCTTGAAATTTCGCAAGCACCAACCTGTCAGCTATTTGCAAGAATTGACAATATTGTTTTGTTGTTATTTTGTTTTTCTTTCTTTACTTGAAAAGAAATTTTTTACCTGATTTTTTTTGGTTTTTCGAGACAGGGTTTCTCTGTATTGTTTTGGAGGCTGTCCTTGAACTCACTTGGTAGACCAGGCTGGCCTCAAACTCACAGAGATCCACCTCCCTCTGCCTCCTGAGTGCTTGGATTAAAGGCAGGTGACACCAAGGCCCAGCTGCCCTCAACTTTTTATTGTTGCTGTGATCAAGTCCCAATTTAGAATCAACTCTAGGGAGGAAGAGTTTATGTGCATTCAGATATCCAACAGACTTAGAATACATGTCCCTGGGTACATCTTGTTCCTTTTAGAACTGGGTCATTAGGTAGCTGGTGACATAACATAGAAGTTCTCTATCCACCACTGTCTTGCTTCCTAGAAAGTTCCACCTCCATGCTTTCTACAGGTTTCCAAGCAGTAGTAGCTACTGGAATCCAAATACTGCCAATGCTTGAGATAATGTGAAATAAACCACTGCCAGCTTAAATGAGAAATTTCCTTACCGTCGTGGGCATGTAAGCATGAGTTTTTGTCCTATGTGGGGGACTTAATGTGATAGAGCCTTGGTGACTATTAGTCAGGGTTGCCTAATCACCCTAATATCTTATACAATAGTCCAATCATTCCCCTTTTCTGGAATTCATTGGAATGACTTACAGGCTGCCGTCAAAAATCCCGGAGTTTCTCAGTCTGCAAGGCTGAATCTCCTGGCTGAGTTTCAGTATATGCTGAAACACCAAAGTAATAGACTCTAATTCAGTGAAGTATTGGACCTTCTAACAAGGCAAGAGCAAATGCAAAAGAGCACTTGTTCCAGGTTCTTATATAGTCAGTCATCCAGCAGAAGGCGTGGCCATAATAAAGGTGTGTCTATTTGCATCAAGATCTGGATTAAAGGCGTGTGTCTTCACTCCTCTACATCCTCAAAGAAGTGGTATTTCCCTCCTCTTGATCCACAGCAAATCCAGAAAAAATAACCTCGCACAGGTATTTCCTTCATGTCAGAGTTGTAGTTTATTAGAGATACTGTAAAGTTGATAATGAAAAATTGCAATTATATCGACAGAGATTAAGGCATTTAGCCTACTTCACGCTGGCTCTATTCTTCCCGATTTAATTTGAAGGTATGAGAATTTCAAGCCGGGCGTTGGTGGCACACGCCTTTAATCCCAGCACTCGGGAGGCAGAGGCAGGCGGATCTCTGTGAGTTCGAGGCCAGGCTGGACCGACAGCCTCCAAAACGGAGAAACTCTGTCTCATAAAACCAGATAGAGAGAGAGAGAGAATTTCATCTTCCAATCTGGTCTTTTTTGTTTTTTGGTTTTTGTTTTTTTTTTCGGTTTTTACGAGACAGGGTTTCTCTGTATTGTTTTTGAGGCTGTTGGTCCAGCCTGGCCTCGAACTCACAGAGATCCGCCTGCCTCTGCCTCCCGAATGCTGGGATTAAAGGCGTGCGCCACCACCGCCTGGCCCAATCTGGTCTTAATTACTCTGGAAAACTTCAGTGTGTCAAAGTATATTATTCTGTCCAATATTCAATGTAATTATTCATTTTTGGACTTGTCCCAGTTTTATTTTCTTTCACTTTTTAAAAAGTGTTTTGAGAGATGTTTTCTCTGTGTATCAGCTCTGCTTATCCAGGTGCTACTTTTGAAATTCAGATTTGTCTTGATCATATTGATATCTGTCAGAAATGCAGGGTTTAATGGCATGAGCCACAACCACTAGACAGTTTGTTTAGGTTACTTCTTTTGTTTTTTGTTGTTGTTGTATTTTTTATTGTTGTTGTTTTAGTTTGGTTTTGGTTTTTATAGACAGGTTTTCTCTGCTTTGTTTTGGACCCTGTCCAGGAACTTGCAATGTACACCATGATATCTGCCAACTCACAAATATTCCCCTGATTCTGCATCCTGAGTGCCATTATTAAAGGCAGGAGCCCCCAATGCCATGCTGACAGATTTTCTTTAGGAAAAGAAATATTAGCCGCGCGGTGGTGGTGCACGCCTTTAATGCCAGTTTGAGGCCATGCTGGACCGACAGCCTCAAAAACAGTACAGAGAATCCCTGTATTGTAAAAAACAAACAAACAAAAAGAAATATTAAACCATCACTGGAACTCATTTGGGTTATCTTGCTGTTGCCCAGCATCAGGGTGATCTTGTGACAAGTCAGGTTTTAGAGGAACTTGGAAGGGGTCCGGAATGTTCCATGTTTGTTTCATGCTGTCACCCACCTCTATTCCCATGATGATGCCATAGCCCAGACTTGCTTGTTTCTACTTTTATGCTTATAGCCTGCAGGAAGCATGGCAGTCTCACCTCGCTCCATCCCCACCCCTTTGAATAGTCTGCCAGCAGTGTAACCACTGCTGACTGAAGCCACAACATCTCCATGTCAGGAGCTGGCAGCTGGACCTAGGAAATGTACTATTTAGGGTGTCATCAGGTTCCCCAGAACCAGCTCCTCCATGTGCTTCAGCAGCTTGAAGAGGGAGAAGTTGTGGGGCAGATGGAAACAAAACACTGATCTGGCAACTGATTCCACCTGGGTTGGTCAGCAAATCAACCAAAAATAATCTCTCACAGATATGTCCTTTATGTGAGGGTTGAAGTTTATTAGAGATATAGCAAGTTAACAATAAAAAATTACCATTACAGTGGCAGAAATCAATCACTGTGTTTGTCCTTGAGATTAAGGAGTCTAGCCTACTTCATTTCCTCTCTCTACTTCCTGATTTAATTGGAATATATGAGAATTTGGTCTTCCACTCAGACCTTAATAACCCTGGAGACCTGCAGTGTATCACACAGTATATTATTCTGCCCAAATGAGATTTACATGCAAATATTCAATGCAATTATTTCTTATTGGAATGTCTCCTGTTTTCTTTTCTGTTCCTTTTTCTTTCTTTCATTTTTGAAAGTTTTTTGAGAGTTTTTTTTTCTGTGTATCAGCTCTGATTATCTGGGAAATCCATTTGAAAATCAGATTTGTCTGGATTTCACAGAGATGTGGCTGCTTCTGCCTAAAGGATACTGGGATTAAAGACTGGAACCACAACCACTAGAAAGTTTGTTTACATTTTTTTCTTTTTGGCTTGATTTTGTTGGTGTTGTTGTTGTTATTTTGGTTTTGTTAGATTTTGTTTTCTTAGATGGAGTTTCTGTGTATTGTTTTGGACCCTGTTCTGGAACTTGCTCCGTACAAGAGGCTGGACTCCAACTCACATGAGCCACCAAAGCCCTGCTAAATGTTGCCTTTTGGAATAGAAATACTAGACTATCACTGGAAGTTATTTTGGATATCTTGCTGTTTCCCAATGTCAGGGTGATATTGTGACTAGTCAGGTCTTGGAGGGGTTGTGGAATGTTCCATGTGTATTTTCTTCTTCGACTCACCTATCTTCCCCTTATGATGGCTTCCCCAAGACTTAGCATGGTCTATCTATAGCCTGCAGGAAGCCTATAGCCTACAGGAAGCACCACTTTCCAATGTCAACTCTCTGCCACCTTACTTCTTGAGTATCCCAGCATTGAAAGTTAGGATGACTGAAGGCAAAACATCTGCAAATCATGGGCTGCCAGGTGGACCTAGGATATGCACTGATTAGGGGGTCATTGGTCTTCCCAGAACCAGCTCCTCCATGTGTTTCAGCAGCTTGAAGATAGAGTAGTTGTAGGGCAGATGGACTCAAAACACCGCATCTGCACCCTGATTACTCCTCAGTTGTTAGGCATTTTTTGGTCTTGCACTACTCACACAGTGCTGCAGAACATTTCCTTAAGAATTTCACATTCATTTGTGATTCCTATTTTGAAAATCCTCTGTTTAGATTGTTCCATGATACTAGTTGTTTATATCTAGTTATTGAATTCTTTTTTCCTGCTTTTTTAATTTATTAAATTAGAAATAAGCTTGCTCCACATGTCAATCCCTTCTCCCTCACCCTCACTCACCCCTACTCAGGCAACCACCACAAACCCCTTCCAATCCCCACTTGAATCTCAAGGGAGGGTGAAGTTGTTCATGGGGAAATCCAAAGTCTGTCATATTTTTCGAGGAAGGGCCTAGGCCCTCTCCCATGTGTCCAGGATAAGAGAGCGTCCCTCCATGTGGGATGGGCTCCCATAGTCCATTTGGATGCCAGGGATAAATACTGAACTGGTACCTGGGCCCAAAGCTTCCTGAAGCATCCTCAATGAGATGCAATTTCAGGGACTTTGCTTCAGGCCCATGCTGGCCTCTCAGCCATCAGTCTGGTATCCATGAGCTGTGCCTTGCACAGGTCTGCTTTTTCTGTGGGTTTCAGCTACCCAGTCATGACTCATTTTGCATCACTCCTCTATCTCCACAGCTGGTATATAGGAGTTCAGTTCAGTGATTAGCTGTGGGTTTCTGCCTCTGTTTCCATAAGCCACTGGATAAAGATTCTAGGATTGCATATAAGGTAGTTATCAATCTCATTATCAGAGAAGGGCATGTAAGGTAGGCTCTCCACTATTGCTTAGATTATTAGTTGGTGTCATCCTTGTAGATCTCTAAAAATGTGTGTGTGTGTGTGTGTGCGTGTATTTGTGTTTGAGTATGTGTATGTGTTTGTGTTTATTACTGTGTTTGTTGATGTCTGGATTTCTTTCAGGACATGACACATTTTCAGATGTGCCTGCCTTTTTTTACATAATATACTTGAAACACAGCCATGGATGTGTATGTAGGCTTTGTCTATAAGTGATTGGCTAACTTGAAGTACCTGACACCTAGTAGTAAGGCCATTACAGGTAATATTTGGTGTTAGATTTGCCTACAGAGGAGGTGATACCCAGCTGAGCCTGACACCTAGATATATATGTGTTTGAAGGGTTTGCATGTAAGTCGGGGCAAAAACAGGACCTGACATATAGTCCTGTGCACATGGGTGTCTGTGGGTTTCTGTGGGTTTGGGTTGTAAGTTAGGGAACAGTTACCATTTCCTAACATTATCCCTGCATGCATGTGTGACATTGGCTATATGGGAGCACATATCTAGCATAATGTGACACCTAACAATGTGTGTGTATGCGGAGCGCTGCTTTTGGGGAGTTGTTAGTGAGAGTGTACTGACCCAAAGCAATGGATAGGGGCTTTTGAATATAGGGGGTTCCACGTGGTACTTAGAAGGACAGTGATTTTTTACTCTAAGGTAGGAAAAACATAGGTCATATTATATGGTCATATGTGCATTTGTGCATAGGGGACAATTCCCAATAAGTTAGGGGTGTCTATCAGGACTTCAAACCAGGTTATGTTTGTGTGCTTGTATTCCAGTGACTCACAGGTGTATGTGTATATATTTGATTGTTTTTACATCCATATCACACTTTCCCTCCTCTTCTCAGTCCTCTCCCTGCTCCCCCATACACTTCTGCTGCATTATTCATCTGACAATGGCAGGCCTCCCATGGATATCAGCCAGCCATGGCATAGCACGTTTCATGGAGACTAGGTGCTGCCTCTCCTATTAAGATTGGGCAAGGCAACCTGGTAAGAGGAACGTGTGCCAAAACAGTCAACACAGAGAGAGACGGACCAAGCTCCCATTGTCAGGTATCCCACAAGACGACCAGGCTACACAACTGTCACATATATGCAGAGGGCCTAGGTCAATCCCATGCAGGCTCTGTGGCTGTCATTTCACTATCTGTGAGCCCACATGGGCCCCAGTTAGTTGATTCTGTGAGTTTTCTTCTACTGTCCTTGATCCCTCTGTCTTCTACAATCTTTCCTCCCTGTGTTCTGACTGAGGTCACTTTCCTCATTTTGCT